GGAAGAACATTGATGTCAAACGAATATGCATCCTCATTCATCTGATTTTTTTTTGTATGAAATCTACGTCTCTTAGTCTCAAACTACATGTTGTGGTCTTTCTTTTATGTATTATATTATGACGTTTTTGTGAAAAATCTGTACGTGATGGAGTAAAATGGATATCATTTTCTGATTCAGCGTACAGGAAGTACTGTAGAACACGTAAAAATTTCAAGACAATAAAACCATCGCAGGCCCGTGTTATGTGTTTTTTAATCATGGTTTTGTTCTTGTAAATGCGGTTTTTTGCTCTTATATTTTGGTTTGTTCTTGTAAATTTGATGTTTTCATATCACATTATAAGCTGTTTGTTTTGAGATGTCGAGGTTTAATAACAACGAGGTTCTTGCTATACGGATACTAGCAATAACGCCCGACTTTGAAACCATGATCAGTCAATTACGCATGTTCATAATGGAATATTTTACAAAACTGTTTGTTGAAGTCCCAGTACTTTGGCCAATTAGAATAGATGAACCATATCAACAAATATCAAGTTACTTGCTGAAGAAAACTCATCAAATGGGCACCATTTTCTGGCATTTTACCACATAAAAATGTTAATTCATAAGTTAAAAAAATATTCCACAGTTGTAGCTAAGTTGTTAAGTTTTCTCTGTTCTTTAGCCAACAATAAATGTCAAAAAAGGTAAAATAATCTTATAAAACATATATTTTATAATTAGCATCTTTTCAATAGTGAAATAATGTCTGAACTGGCGTCTTTTGGCAAATGACAATTTGCCATATGTTAAAATTTATTATTAATTTTCTAAATAATTTTATGAACGATATACATTAAAAGTGATAGAAGGTAAAACGATTTATTTATTTGTTACTAAGCGCTAAATACTCAGTAGGCTAGCTGCACTTTGTCCACTGCGAGTATCTAAACCTGATTTTTATTGTTATAAGTCCTCAGACTTATCGTTGAGCTACAAGATTTCGGCGAAAACGAAGGAAAAATATAAGTTGAGTAGTCAGACATAATTTTAAATCCCTAGTAGCCCGGCATGGCCAGGTGGATAAGGCGCTCGACTCACAATCTGAGGGTCGCGGGTTCGAATCCGCATCCCACCAAACATGCTCGCCCTTTCAGCCGTGGGGGCGTTATAATGTGACGGTTAATCCCACTATTCGTTGGTAAAAGGTCCCTAATTTAGCAGTGTAAGACTAGAGGGAAGGCAGCTAGTCATCACCACCCACTGCCAACTCTTGGGCTACTGACTAGCGCAGATAGCCCTCGTGTAGCTTTGCGCGAAATTCAAAAACAAACAAACAATTGTATAACATATGTTCATTGATGCTCACTACAATTACTTTTACTTTTCATGTGGTCAAGCATCAATGTTAGTGAGGTGGATCTTTATGACTTACTCATTGACTCTCATTTAGATAGCTCTTACCTTCCAGACAATCAAGGGTCACCTCAGATTTTTGTTAGTCTATTGACCCTTGTTTTCATGTTCCTTGGATTAATTATATAACTCAATTCAATTTTATATTCATCAGTTTCTATTTGGTTTTGAAGGTGAAAGTTTTAAACCTTTTTCATAACAAGGAGATGTCAGTGTTGTATTTAATGTTTATTTAGGATTTCTATATCAAAATCTCATACTTTTATTATGTCAAAGACAACAGGGAATTGGAGACTGGTCTTAGAGCTTTCCTGACTCATTTGTTATCTAAACATTCTTACTTTATGGGGGGATGTGAAGTTGGGGGAATGAATTCAAATTCAACAAAATGGAAAATACTGTACTTCAGGGGAGACTTTTTTTGCAAAGTGTTGAAAGACATTCTTACCAAATGTTCTTGACCAATATTCAAGAAAGAAGATGAAGAGGGTAGGCACAGAGAAACAAATTTTCCCAAGATGGGCTCAAAGCATCCACTGCTAGAAAAATACAGAAAGCAAACTGTTGATACAGCCAGTGAAAAACCAGGTTAGAGAAAGAAGTGATGTGAATATAGCCAAAGAAGTAAAGAAACCTCAGAAAACAAAGGCTGAGAGATTAAGTTACCCCTATCCTCCACAATGACATTTGTTGTCTATAGCTTCATGGCTGGCTGTTATACTGTCTTTTATTAATGAAGCTGGCTTATCTTCTTGGGGAGCTTGAATGTTTTCATGTTCTTGCAGACATTCGTCCTTGACAATATACCAATCTTGTTGGTATATTTTTCAAAGTTTTTACCTGCATAATTTGGTTTCTTGTCTTTCTCAAACTCCTCAACAGTTTGCTTCATATTTTCATTACTTAATTCATGACTGTGTCTTGTCTGTTTCTATTGCTGGCTACAGAACTGCACTCTCAGCAAGTAACAGTTGCCAGAGAAGACAAGTGCCTTTGTCAGCCCATTTTTTCAAATTATTTTTCAATATTTTTGATTATGTCTCCCCAAGTACCTAAATATTGTCATCAGTGGGATTTAAATTTGGTTTTAAATTGCATGGCTTCTCCTTCTGAACCCTTCACAACTTTTTCACTCTACAGTTTTTCCATGAAGACATATCTCATTTTGTTACTTGCTTCCAGGAAGAGTATTATCAGACCTGTTTTACCACTGATGCTTATCATAGTCTTTTTCTTTTTTGCCCAAGTCTCCAGTAGAAGTAATTTATTAGGATATAAGTACAGAGACTTGTATAAAAAAAAAAATATTTTATTTTATTTTTTGTGTTACTGTACCTACTCTGATTGACCCTAATTCTTTTTCTGAAGAATTTTTCTGTGTTCAGTTAGGGCTATTTTTTCCTATATTGTAAG